TTCTTGCTTGTGTTCTGTGCATAGACATTGCTTAGCAATGTGTAATAATGACACCACCATGCAGTGGGCTAACTGCTCAGCAAGGCCTGGGTTTTTTTTTTGGTTTTATTTTTACTTTGTTTTTTCTATTATTTCTTTTTTGCATTTTCATTTTTCATCACAATTCAGCCGATGGCCTTGCAAACTGTTTAGTCATAGAGTTCACTTTTTTTGGATGCTTTTATTTTCTGTGTTGACTTTACCAGAAAACACTTTTTTTTTTTTTTTTTGAAACAACCTTTCAATCTCTGAATGATTGAGGGAATTATTTGATTTTTAATATATGCATACTTTCTTTGGTGTTTTTTTCTCTCGTTGCATTGGATTGGATTGAATTGGATTGGCATTGATTGGCATTGATAGGCTCTGGTCAAAAAACGGGATTTTTCTCTTTTTTTTGCGACGAGCGTTTTGGTTTTCTGCAGCCTTTTTTCTTTTTATATTTTGTTGTTGTGTAAAGCAAAGAAAAGCAAAGCAAAGCAAAGCATGATGAAGCATGAAGTGTGATGAAAGCATGAAATGAAGCATTAAGCATACATGGTGTTTTGCATCTGATCTGATGAGAATAATTGGTTTTGTTTTTTTTAATTCTTCTTTAAATCTCTCTTCTCTTGTTGATCCATCCGTGCTTTGTTTTTTCTATAAGCATGTTTTTGAATTGATAGTTGTGATTTTAGCGTGTTGTTTGCTTTCATTCCCCCCCAACCCTTCTTCTCTATACTGTTTTTTGAATTTGTGTATGCGCTGCATGGTTTCTTTTTCTCTCATTTTCTGACCTTTGTATCTGTATTTGTATCTGTACTATTATTTCTGCTGTTTATTGTTGTGTGCATGGCGTGAATATGAGGTATGAGCGTGGCATCAATTGAAGAAGTCTTTATTTTTTAACTAATTTATTATACACGCGCGTTTTTGATGTATAGTATATATGTATGTATGCCTAGTCTCTAGGAAATAATGTTCTATGTGATGAAACTAGATCTCACCTCCCCTCTCCTTTCCCGCCCTTTATACCTCGCCACATCATCGCCCCAGCTCCTTACCGCCGACGCCAACCTCCCCGGAACCCCAGGCTCCTGCGCGATCTCCATCACCGGCATAAAATACGTGCGGATCGTAAACACCACAGCGCCGGACCTGGGCTACCTGCGCAGCGACTGCCTCTCAGACCGAAACCAATGGTGCTCAACCGCCTTATCTTTCTCCGCCGTGGCCCAGCTAACGTGCGCATCGTCCTCCTCGCCAATGCTGCGCGACCACGCGATGTCCTCGTCGACCTGGAGGAAATAATTGTTGCGCAGGACGGGGTTGGAGGGCTTGAGGCGGCGGAAGAAGTTCACCATGCCCCTTTCGAGCTTGGTTTGGAATTGCGGGACGGAGCCTGAGGTGTGGATTTCGGAGAGCGCCTGGCCGAATTTGTCGCTTAGACGTCAGAAGCCGGCGAGGAGGTAGTATTGTCCGTCTGCCTTCTCGTACATGAGCGCGATGTCGTCTTGGATTAGGCGGGAGCAGGTTACTAGGGGGTCCTGAGGGAGAGGGAGGGTGGTTGTGTCGAAGGTTTCGCCGGTTAGGAGGTTTGAGATGCCTGTGGTTGTACGTTTGAAGAGGGTTGGGTAGCGTTGAGGGAGATAGGAGACCCTGATTAAGTGGTATTTTGTGAGTGTGGGGAATTGTTGGTTTCGTGGATCAAGGGATTATCAGAGAAGTGTCGAGGAATATATGTATTTATACACGTACAGCTCGTCCAATAACTCAAGCACACCGTCAGCGGCTTCAGGGGCCGTCATGCAGCATTTGTCTCCGCGTTCGAGGATCCGTCGCGCTTTGTCGGCATGGAAGCGGAGATATTGGTTATCCAGCTCTGATGTGAAGATTATTTGGTATTCCTTTTGTCAGGGAGCGATTTCATTTACGTTATATTATATCCTGGTTCTGTGCGAAGCTGCGGTATATGAGATTAAAAACCAAGTGAGTTCATGCATACCAATCCACTCATCCCATATCATCGACCTCAGCCCCATCGTGACAAAGTAGTTGCCTTCGATGAATGAGTAGCTTTTTGTGTGTGATTTCCATGCTTTAGCCACTCCTTTTCATTATTATCGAAAGTACGACTTACGGGCCGTATCTACAAGGTCTATATGGAATAGGCTTTGTGGTGTGTACGTCCCAGTTGGGATAAGGGACTGCGTCAGGGCGTTTGAAGTCTGTGGGCTGCCATTCTTCCAGCCGAGCAGAAGCGTCAATTGACCTAAGTCCAGCCATAATAACTTAAAACATTTGATCTGGGGAAGAGGTGGTCTCAAATAGGTACCTCCTGGTCGTCTATCTGCTGTTTTGGTGTTTAGGGCTGGATTTTCTCGATTTGGTGTCACTGGTCGGGAAGACGGACGGGCAGTGAATCTTTGACAGAGGGAGGCAATTGCCCATGAGGAGATGAAAAGGAGAAGAAGTACAGGGAGGAGGTCGTTCAGTGGATATTTATCCAGGACGAACGTTAACCAATTTGTAGGTTTTTGGCTGGATCACACATCGTGGTGATATTTTGTCAGGCATTTGATATCGTTTCTCCCGAGATCAAAAAAGCCAGAGAGATTGTTGGGGTCGTATATTATATATTTCATCTGATATCAAAGCGAGCATTTCTCCCCGTAGCACACCCCCCTTAGTTTTTCATTTTATCTGTATTCTCTCACCCTTCCCACCGCTGCTCCTATACATAGCTTAACCAGTGCCTAATATCTCTCGATCACTGGTTGCTTCCGGGGGTAAAGCGTTGCGTTTTAACCGAAGACCGATTCGGGAAAGAAATGCAGTTTCTTGGCATTCATCACCGTGTCCGTATCACGGCCGGAGGCAACATCCTTTCAAGTGACATATCACGTTATGTAGAGTGTGTCGCGAAAATCACTTAGGGACTGATATCAGCTTTTCGTCGTCCAAGAAGACAGTATCGACCCCATTTGCGCTGGAGCTTTTCTGGGATGAAGGGGAGGTTCGGAATCCAAATTATTCGTCCCAGAAAACTCGTCCTTTTGGTGTCAAGGAATCGCTTGCATGAAAGTTCTTCCCATGTAGATCTGTCGAGGAGATAGTGGGGTTCTAGGGCAGAGCCACCATCGCCTGGAAAGTACGAATCGACCAGAAAATTACACTGGGAGATATCCGTCTGCTTCTGGATTAGCGGATGTGTCATAATGGTGAATAGTACCTGATGAATACTTACATATTTTCCTAGGTCTTCTAGATTCTGATCGTTCATCCCAGAGGGCACTATCCACGTCCCTGGGCGTAGATCTAGGGCCTCCGATTCGGGAGCAAATTCACCAGGAAGTAGCCCATCAAATTCACTTTTGATGAACTTGGCTCTTTTATCATCAGGCAAGAAGAATGATGATGGAAAGCGGTACCACTCCTTTCCAAGACACACATAATCTCCACGGGCTGCTATCTCTGGATTTTCCAACGGCTGGAAAATCTGCAGGGGTGCGTTGTATGCAGTAACAACTCCGAAAATTCTTAGGAGACTTATATTCGTGGCGAGGAGTACGGGAATGAGAGCGATGACGAGCTTTATCCCGGGCGAAATACGACCAATCAAATTTTTGTGATTATTCGAACCCATATAGGCGAGAACTATGTGGAACGCAATCGCTGCGTTTAAAGCTAAGAAAGGATATGCTGGATACATGAAACGCTCCTCCTTATGAGGCTGGGTGGTAAATATACTTAACCACATGTAAAGGGGGAGAATAAACGATATCGATCGCAATAGTGTTTGCTTTGTCGTATTGCGTGGTCGGAAGACCGTTTGGAAAACAAGGAGAGGAGCCGCGGAGAGCGCGAATATAAACCATATGTTGAAGTTGAGCAGTAAGTTTCGAAAATAAAAGGTCCAAGGCTCGGTTCCAAAAATACTGGGACCCTTGCCGCTCCCAGCAAACATGTTATATGATATGATATTCCACGGAACGACGACGAATTTTCGGTAAAACAAGCTATCAATAGCCATCTCGAGAGCCTAGGTTTATTAGCGTGGACATGTATGTCAGAGGCGCAAAAGCAACTTACCAAAATTATCAGACACCTCATAGTACCCTCAGTGAATCGAATCAAGGTTCGGTATAGAGATTTAGAAAAGTATCCAACGGCAATCTCTTCCAACAAAAAGGGTACCACCATAGCGCCGGCAAAAGGCCATCCAAGTATAGCTCCAATACCGAACCACATTATGCCGCGACCTGTTTTAAGGCCTCCGCGCGAGTCCATGAACGCACACATGCCAAGCATCGAGGTGTACATCGTAAAGCTCGAGGGTAGCATTGCAGTGGATGCATGGAACATCCCAGGACTAAATACCATGATCATGATAAATATGACTCCGATGCGCGGATTGAGTGTTCGTGAGATGGCAGAGTATATCCTTGTCTCGCAAGCGGTGCATATGAATGCAAGCGCCATTCTGATGAAATAAAACTGCGCGCTTTTCGATCTCGCAATAAAAGTAGATATCTTGCCTACGCCAGCATGAAGGGAGACATAGAGCCAGCTACGAATGGAGTACTCTGGCGAGTACTCCCACGTCTGGAGACCATACCCATGAACGAGGTAGTGTGTGGGCTCCCAGTAATTGAATACTTCGTCGCAGTCCTGTATGGGTGCAAGGGAGGCCGCAAGAGTATTTGAGAGAAGGCAAACGTAGAAGACCACATTTAAGGGAATAAAGAACTGATTCGGGACTGGCCTTTACCGCCGTATGATTAGTTATGGTATGCGAAACGGAAACGAAGTTACATACTTGGGATTTCTCTCTGATGCTACTTTGACAGAACCATGAGAACCAGCCTGGTTTTGTTTGGGAGGCATTTTTACCGAATGGGCATTGGAGAGCATGCCCAGGTTGTACTTTGGGCGGAAGGGAAAACTGCAATTCCTCCCGCGCACCCCGTGTTTGTCGCAGTCTGAAAGCGGGACGAATCAAAATATCGCAGAGGTTTGACATCCGCGGCGAACTTTAAAACCTTGAGGAGTAGTTAAGTTAGCTCCTACGGTTGCCCAGATTAGCTAGATGTGCAAATATTAATTTTAAGTCGAAAAAATATTCGGCGTTCACTTCGGGACAGAAACGAAAAATGGACGATGCTGAAATATCTCGCAACGAAATATTACCACGATTTCTATCCGTGACTTTTTTACAAGCTCAGGGATGGTGGAAATGCCGTCAACGGATCAGCTAATGTCTGGAGATATTAAAGACCCTCCTGCGAAACGTCCCTGTCTTGATATGGCGTCGAACGGACCGGAGCTTGGAGGAGAGCCAGCAGCGGATGAAGGAAGCGATTTCTACAACACGCCTCTAAACGCTGGCACCCCGGTTTACACTGCGCAGACCTGTCGCGCCGAAGACAATACCAGCGTCGTTCCACCTACACCACCGAAACCTGCGCCCGCAATACCTGGACTGAGCTTTCTGTATAAGAACGAATCAGCTACTGAGTCGCAGGCAGCTGGAAGCGCCGTTCAACAAATAAGCTCCCTGGATAAACCTAGTGAGCCGGATACACCGCAGGAATTGGATAACCGAGTGCCAAATTCTGAAGATGTAGAAATGGGATCCCCAACCCCAGTCGTTCAGCAACGCGAGGAAGAACAGCAGGGCCAGAACCATACAGTTACGGAGGAATCTAAGAATGATGCCCCTACTGTCTCGGAGGCTAACCATGACCCTGTACCACCGACACAGAATGGAGCTTCTGGAGAGTCTCCGGGACGCGCGAATCACACCGGAGGCGCTGAAATTGGCCCCGACAACTCTGAAAACCCGGAGTGGGAAATGGACTCCTCACCATATGAGTCGTCTTCCTCAGATTCTTCCTCTGACGACAGCGATGATGATGATGATGATGATAGCAGCGGCGATTATGACTTATTAGACCCTGAAGAACAAGCCCGGATATTAATGGCTGCGGAGGGCGGTTCCGACGACGAGGGAGATGGAAAGAATAAAGGGGGACATGTTAGGACAGCAAACGAAAAGCCCGAAGAGATAGTACCGAAGCCCGACATTACCGTCACACCTGATATGAAGGTAGAAGTACTGGGTAATGTGGAGACGATCGTTGAAAACGTTGTCTTAATCAAGGCAAATATATCCGGGGAATATCAAGTGCTGGAGAGCGGTTCCGTCCTCTGCCTTGCCGATCTAAGTGTCATTGGCATGGTATCGGAAACCCTTGGAAGAGTGGAACAGCCGCTATACACGGTACGGTTCCCGAACGAGGAATCGATAAAAGAAGCCAAATTAGAGAAAGGCACGCCCGTTTTCTATGTTGTGGACCACTCTACCTTCGTGTTCACACAACCCTTGAAGGGGCTCAAGGGTAGTGATGCATCTAATTTCCACGACGAAGAGGTTGGAGAGGAAGAAATCGAGTTCTCTGACGACGAAGCGGAGGCTGAATACAAGCGTCAGCTCAAACAGAAGCGTCAACAAAAGAAGGATGGGCGGCGTGATGCTCATGGACCTGGGAAATCGAGGAGAGATCGACCGGGCCCTTCTGGGCTTGGGAACTATCAGGTAAACTACGACGATATTAGTACAGAAGATGGTTACACCCCGTTGTCTCGACCGAAAAATTTCCATGAAATGATCGGTAATAGAGAAGCGCCCATAGAAGAATCTCAGCCACGCAACCAGTTTGCAGAAAGACATTCTAGAGGAGGAAGGGGCAGGGGTAGAGGCAGAGGCAGTGATCGGGGAGGGCGAGGACGCGGGAGAGGTGGCAGCTACCAGAAGCAGGGAGATGATCGCCAACCCCCTCAGCAGCAGCAACATCAACCTGAGCAGCCGCAAAGAGGGCAACAAGAAACGCCACAGTATGCCCACCCCCCACAATCTTCCGAATTCCGACCTCCGCAGACGTTCTACCAAGCCCAGAACCCTTACCAACAACAGCCCTCGCCTTACAACCCGCCCTCATATCCCCCTTATCAATCCCCACAACAAAATCAGCCTGCTCAGATGTACAACACCAACCAGGCTTTCTTCCCCTCCGGTTTCCCCCCAGCCCAGCAGCAGTTTCCTTTTCAACTTCTCCATCAACCTCAATCTGTGTCTCCCTACCCACCACCCGGCTCCCATATCAACCCAGCCTTCTTCCGCAATCTCCAGCAGCAGCAGCATTCTTCACAATCTCAACCACCCGAACAAGCCCAGCAGAGCCTACAAGGCGCACACTCAGCCGAAGCGTCTGCAACACAGTCATCGGTTGATACCTTCGCTGCCGCCCAGGCCCAGCTGGATCTGCTAAGGAGGCTAAGTCGGGGCGGTTCCTGAACCGTAAGCGTTATCGGAATTCAAACGCACACGTTTCTTTCCCACTGTGCTTGCAACGGCCTTGTTTCATTTGTCTAAAATCATGGCAACTCACGTTCAATTATCAAAAATTGTTCTCTCTGTACGATACTGTTGCTCTACTTGTATACTTGTATGACTTTTATGCTCTTACTCTTTCATTATTGAAATTAGAGATATGACTCATAAGAGAGAAAGAGCCAAAGACACTGGAAGGTTGTTGTTTTTTTTTCTGAGCCATGGTTGTGCTTGTCCTTTATTTCAATTTTTATGGAGTTCTCTACTACGGAGTGCATTTTACTCTATGGGATTTGTCGGTATTCAAAACTTGGGATTAAGGAAAGGAAGCGAAAAGTCATTTTTGTTCTTGCTACTCATAGTTAAGTCTAGTTCCCAGATAGCATTTTCATTGATCTTGTTTACGGCCTATGTATGTACAATGTGGCTTAAATTTTCAAAATATTGCATTTGGGAAATTTCTCAAATAGTGTGGATATTTAGAATGGGCCTCGAATGCGCATATCTAGACCTAGGCCTCAAAAGTGCTAGATATCAGAGAATATAATGATACAAAACTGCTCAACGACATAATACGCTGAAATACAACATCGAAGAAAATATCATATAGCACTTACGTTGCCTCAGTCTTCAAGCTCTTCGCCAAAGTCCAAAAGTTCTCCAGCTTAGCCCGCGACAACGCATCCTTTGCGGCAGCATCCGTCTCGCACACCCGCGCACCCAGCCACTTTCTAAACGCTCTAGTCTTTCCCTCTCCTTCCCAAACTAATGTGCATGTGTTTTGGCTCAAATCCTTCAGCTCTCCCGTCTTCTCATCCTCGGCAGTAAGCCATGATGCGAGCGCTTCGCGATCGTTGTTTGGATGAGTATTTTCCGTCCAGTCAATGCGATTGAGCATGAGCTTCCGGTACGCGGAGATGGAATGATGGCCACCCTCGACGATCACGAGGTTGAACTTCGGATGCATAATGCACATTCCAGACAGGTTGTGCTGTTCTGCGTTTTTGCTGATTTTGAAACGATGCCGGCCGTTTGAGAGGTTGTCTATTTTGTATACAGACATGTATATGCCCTTGGCCGCATCCTGTTCTTGTTGAATGGTGAGCTTCTCAAGCCGTTGCTCCTTGGTCAGCTTGCGGGATTCATTCGTTGCCACATGTTTGTTAAATCGTTCGGCAATTTCCCGGTTGACGCGAGCTTCAACAGCGGTCGGATCCTTGACGGCTTCTTCACCTAAAACGCGCATGAGGTTGGATTTCTTGACTTTTGGAGGTGGGACAGGCTCGAGCCCTAGTCTAATCTTCGCCTGTTGCTCTTTAAGATCGGCCATCCGCCGTTGACGTCGGATTTTGGCTTGCTCTTTTGGTGTAAGGAACATTGGTTTTGGTGCCGGAATGTTTTTATCTTGTGGAGGGTCAAGGAGAACTGGATGTTGAATATAAATAGAGATTACAGTATCTGCAGTGTCAATTTTGAGACTTTGAGGGTCATCAATGGCAGAATAGTCCGAACCGTTGACTAAACCCTCATCCCACCACTCGATTGCAGGTGGAGCCGGTACGATGAACGCTTTTTCAACATCCAAATCTTCATCCACGCCTGCTTGGCGGGCACGCTCCGCGATCTTCTTCTTCATAGCCTCTAGCTGAGCTAGTCGGCGAAGTGCCGCTGCCTGCTGGATATATTTCCCTTTCTGATTAAAGACTAACTGACGTGATTGACGAGGCCGCGCTAGCGCTGTTTTTGCGCCAAGGTTGGGATCAAAGTATGGATTGCTCTTCGTTTCTTCGATGGAGGGACCGGATAGATCTAGCTGCATTTTGGATTTACCGGGCTTAATGGAAGGAACTGGCGACTCTGTTCGTCGATTCGCCATTGTAGTAGCAAATTTAGGTTGCATCGTTTGTTTGCCTTTCGGAGATTTTGAATCTTGAGTAGAATCGCCTAGCAAGGCTGGATGCAAGCCGACGTCTAATCCTCCCCTTGCTCTAAATAAGCCATCATCGACAACCGGAGGCATGAACGTAGACGGCATAGGTGCCCGTTGCTGGATTGTAGTGTTTACTTTTCCTGTGGCTGCGGCAACTCTCGCCTTAATTTGTTCAAGTCTCGAGAGTGCCGGGCTAGCTGCGGTGGTTGAAGCTGGGGTTTGGGTACCTGACCCCAAAGTTGGCGTAGCAGTGCCTCCTCTCGCTGCTTCAATTCTCGCTCGAGCAGCCTCAGCCTTTGCACGCGCCTCAGCTACCATCCTTTCGATTTCCTCCTTGCTGATCCCCCCCTTGTTGCTGCTACTCGCTGGCATAGGGGATCCATTATTGGAGCGGGATCGCTTCTGTAGCTTGCTCTCGTCATCTTCCGGATGGGGTCTCTTCAGCATATTGCTAGCGTCCGCCATGGCTAGAATGTTGGGTGAATACACTCACCCGAAGGGTATTATCGACGCGTCGGAAAATAGTAAACACTTGTTGAGTTTGTAGCTATGTGGGAGTTTGTCGAGATGCTTGTTTAGGTTGAAGGTTTGGTTGCGAAGTTGGCACAAACAAGATTCAGAGCTACAAAGGCGGTGCGCCATGGCAGAAAAGTTTCACCAAAAAAATACACCATCTCGAGCTACTCTTCTTCCTCGACTCTTGTCACCAGTCGACGGCCAAAGCAATTCCAGCGGAACAAGCCTAGGCATTTCTGAGAAGATGGCTAGCTTCACACGGCCGATTTCATCCTCGATTGGGGAGGTCGATTTTGGAGTGCTTTCCAATGACGAGATCAAATCGATCTCCGTCAAGCGTATTTACAACACCCCTACGCTTGATACATTGAATAACCCTGTACCAGGAGGATTGTACGATCCTGCTCTCGGAGCATGGGGTGATCATGTGTATGCGACTATTTTGTCCCTTTTATGCCGTCCTTTGATGAGCGTTTTGCTGACTGAAACCGTCCCAGATGTACTACATGCCGTCTGAATTCCTGGTCCTGCAATGGCCATGCCGGACATATAGAGCTGCCTGTCCATGTGTACAATGTCACTTTCTTCGACCAGCTATTTCGCCTCCTAAGAGCTCAATGTGCCTATTGCCATCGCTTTAGAATGTCTCGGGCCGATATCAAGTCCTACACGTGCAAATTGAGACTGTTACAGTACGGTTTGGTTGAGGAAGCTGCGGCGATTGATAATATGGAAGCTCGAAGAGGCACAAATAATGATGCTGGTTCAGAATCAGGAGAAAGTGAGGATGAAGACGAGGAAGACTTTGTCAGGCGCCGGGATGCGTACGTCAAAAGGTGTATTCAACAAGTACTGGCGAGAAGTAAGCATCAGGAATTTTTACATGGCGCAAAGAATTCCGCAGCTGTAGAACAACGGAGGAATATTGTACGAGGATTTCTTAAGGATATCACAGCTGTTAAAAAATGTGCCTCTTGTAGTGGGTGAGAATATTCCGTCGAACACAAGGTAGTGTACCTGGCCACTAACTACTTTATAGTATTTCCCCTCCGTTCCGTAGAGACAAATACTCGAAAATATTCAAGAAGCCGTTACCGCAAAAGGCTAAGATCGCAATGGCGGAGGCTGGATTTCATGTCCCTAACCCATTGTTGTTGATAAAAGAAGCGATCGACCTGTCGAAGAAACATGGCCATCCGTCGCAGGGTTCTAATATGAATGGCTACCCAGATGACGACAATGCTAGTGTTTCGACGGATTCTCATGGTGCAGAACAGCAGATCACCATGGGAAATGCAGTATTGGCACAAGTCGAGGTAAAGGGATCTCGGAACAAACCTAGTGAACAGGATGCGCAGCAATTCATGCCGTCACCAGAAGTTTACGCAGCACTGCGACTCCTTTTCGAAAAGGAACAAGAAGTTTTAGATCTAGTATACGACTCACGGCCGAGATCAAAACACCGCCCACGCGTCACTCCAGACATGTTTTTTATCAAGAATATTCTCGTACCGCCAAACAAATATCGCCCGATAGCTGCCAATGGCTCGAATGATATCATAGAAGCGCAACAAAACACCTCGTTCACCAGAATCATAAAACTTTGCGACCAAATAAACCAAATTAGTAGAGAAAGGCAAGGTGATAGCACCGAGTCTGTTACTAGGTTACGAGATTACCGGGACCTCCTTCAGACAATTGTACAGCTACAAGATGCGGTCAATAGCCTTATCGATCGCGATCGTAACCCCAGCCAGGGAATTTCAGGAATGCAAAATGAAGATGGTATCAAACAGAGGCTGGAAAAGAAGGATGGTCTATTTCGGAAAAATATGATGGGAAAACGGGTCAACTTTGCCGCAAGAAGCGTCATATCACCGGACCCTAATATTGAAACCAATGAAATTGGAGTTCCTCTCGTTTTCGCGAAGAAGCTCACCTACCCGGAGCCGGTCACCAATCATAACTACTGGGAACTTAAACAAGCTGTGATAAATGGGCCTGATATTTATCCTGGTGCCGCTGCCGTTGAGAACGAGGTTGGTCAAGTGGTGAGCCTTAAATTCAAAAGCCACGACGAACGAATGGCCATCGCCAATATGCTCCTTTCCCCGTCAAACTTCAAGATGAAACGATCGAGAAACAAGAAAGTTTACCGGCATCTAACCACCGGCGATGTCGTGCTGATGAATCGACAACCCACGCTCCACAAGCCGTCTATAATGGGTCATCGTGCCCGAGTACTTACTGGGGAAAGAACAATCAGGATGCACTACGCAAATTGTAATACGTACAATGCGGATTTCGATGGTGACGAGATGAATTTGCATTTCCCGCAGAACGAACTCGCAAGAGCGGAGGCCATGCAGTTGGCCGATACCGACCATCAATACCTATCAGCCACAGCAGGAAAACCACTGAGAGGTTTGATCCAGGACCATATTTCAATGGGAACATGGTTCACCAGTCGCGATACATTTTTTGATAAAGATGACTATTATCAGTTACTGTACAGCTGCTTGCGACCAGAAAATTCCCACACTGTTACCGACAAGATTTTACTTATGGAGCCGACGATCTTACGGCCCCAGAAACTTTGGACTGGGAAACAAGTAATCTCCACCATTATGATGAATATTACACCAGAGAGGCTCCATGGTTTGAACCTTACAGGGAAATCAAGCACTCGAGGTGATCGTTGGGGTGAAGGCTCCGAGGAAGGACAGGTCATTTTTCGGGATGGCGAACTTCTTTGTGGTATTTTGGACAAAGCCCAACTGGGTCCAAGCCCCCGCGGCCTCGTCCATTCAGTTCATGAGATTTATGGGCATGTTGTTGCTGGAAAATTGTTAGGTGTTCTAGGTCGTTTGCTGACGAAATTCTTGCACATGCGAGCTTTTACTTGCGGCATGGATGATCTTCGCCTGACGAAAAAAGGAAACGAGGCTCGGAAACGAAAACTAGAAGAAGCCGAAGATATAGGCCGCAAAATAGCACTCAAATATGTGACTTTGGATCAAACTAAAGTGGAGGATGAAGAAGCTGAGCTTAAACGACGCCTGGAAGACGCGCTCCGTGATGACGCGAAGCAGGCTGGATTAGATGCGGTTTTTAACTCGCAAACCGGCAAATTATCATCTGAGATTACATCCGCCTGTCTTCCAACCGGGCTCGAAAAGCCATTCCCATGGAACCAAATGCAGGCGATGACCTCGTCTGGGGCTAAGGGGTCTGTTGTCAACGCGAATCTCATTTCTTGCAACTTAGGCCAGCAGGTTCTTGAAGGTCGTCGAGTCCCCGTGATGATTAGCGGGAAAACTTTGCCATCCTTTAGGCCTTTTGAGACCAGCCTCATGGCCGGTGGTTTTATCTCTGGACGCTTTCTTACGGGAATAAAGCCACAAGAGTACTATTTTCACGCTATGGCTGGTAGAGAAGGCCTTATTGACACTGCTGTTAAGACCTCAAGATCTGGGTATCTCCAGCGATGCTTAATTAAGGGAATGGAGGGATTAAAGGCAGAATATGACAACACTGTTCGCGAGACCGCTGACGGATCGGTCATGCAGTTCCTCTACGGTGAAGATGGGCTCGAGATTATCAAGCAGAACCATCTACAAGACTTCACCTTTTTGGCCCAGAATTTCTGGTCTGTCGTTGAAGAGCTTAATGGGTCTGACGAGTTAAATAAGGTTAAGGACGACAAGGCGGGAGAGTGGAATCAAAATGCAATCAAAAAACTGAGAAAGACGGGCAAATTGGACTGTGTGGACCCTGCACTTTCCCTTTTTCCTCCAGGGTCCTGCTATGGAAGTACTTCAGAATCTTTCGCAATGGCTTTAAGAAAGGTGTGTGTGCATGATTACGGAATGTTATAACTTTTGCACATTTCATACTGACTTATACCTCTACTAGTATCAAAAAGAAAATCCCGATAAATTGCTAAAAGAAAAGGGCAAGACCGAGAGCAGAATTTCCAAAAAGGATTTCACTAGGGTGATGAATATGAAATATATGAGATCGGTTGTGGAGCCTGGTGAATCCGTGGGGATTGTTGCTGGGCAGTCGATTGGCGAGCCGTCCACCCAGATGACTCTCAACACGTTCCATTTGGCTGGACATTCAGCGAAGAACGTAACGCTTGGTATTCCTCGCCTGCGCGAAATTGTTATGACAGCCAGTGATAAAATACTTACGCCAACTATGACGGGTGTCTTGAACAAGCAGCTTACCGAAAAGGATGGAAGGGTTTTTGCTAAAGCGATTAGCAAGCTTACCCTCGCGGAGGTCGTGGACACTCTTAGAGTCCATGAGCGCATTTCATCCGGATCTAGCCGTGGGAAGGCAAAAATATACGACATAGAAATAGACTTTTTCCCCCCAGATGAGTACACCGAAGAATATGCCATCCAGATTGAAGATATTCTCAAAACACTCCAGCACAAGTTTGTACCACGGCTTGTCAAATTAACACGCGCAGAGTTGAAGAAACGAATAGATGAGAAATCATTATCTACTTTCTCCTCTGCCCAGCCTGACATCGGTACTTCCGCGGGAGTGATAGAGGAGTCTACGAGGCGTTTTGGGCGTGAAGCCAGAGACGGCGATGATGATAATGACGACGACGAGGAGGAAGACCAAGACGATGCGAAACGGGCAATGGCAAACATGAATCGCTCCAATCAAGTCTCCTACGAAGATCCTGATGAAGGAGAGGAAGCAATTATACGCGAACAAGATTCCGAAGAGCCAGACTCCGATGACAATGAAGAGGCTGAGGGCAACCGCCATGGCGACGGGACTGCGACTGAAGATGTCGACATGCCAGACGCAGACGCCGATTCTGACTCGGAAAAAATACAAAAGAGTAAAGAGAGCGAAGACACCATCATTGGGAAACATGCTGAAATCACAAAGTTCAAGTTCAACCTTAAAAAAGGCAAATCTTGTCATATTCAGCTACGATATGATATCTCGACGCCCAAGCTTCTGCTCCTCCCTCTCGTCGAAGATGCTGTTCGGACCTCCGTGATCCAATTCGTCAAGGGGCTGGGAACCTGTACTTACATTGAGGCCGACGATAAAGAGCCAGCACATATCGTCACTGACGGTGTCAACTTGTTAGCCATGCGAGATTACCAGGATTACGTCTACCCTCATTCGTTATACACCAATTCAATTGCCGACATGCTCCTGATGTACGGAGTTGAGGCTGCCCGTGCATCTATAATTCGTGAAATGGCTGCCGTTTTCGATAGTCACAGCATTTCGGTTGATAATCGTCATCTTAATCTCATTGGTGATGTTATGACCCATGCTGGTGGTTTCCGCGCGTTTAACCGCATGGGCCTGGTGAAGGATAGCACTTCGCCGTTTATGAAGATGAGCTTCGAGACCACCGTTGGGTTCTTGAGAGACGCTGTGCTGGAGAGGGACTGGGACAACCTGGACAGCCCTAGTAGTAGGATTGTCATGGGACGCGTTGGAACGATCGGCACTGGTGCTTTTGATGTACTTGCTCCTGTTGGCTGAAAATTTTCTCTATTCAGCTATTACTTGATCATGTTTACTTGTCATTTGAGTGATGAGCAATCCTTTTCCCTTTGTTCGTTTACACGTTCGTATTTCCGTTTTCGAATTTTGGAATCGCGTTATATTTAGTGACGAAAAGTTGAGGACGAGATTCATCCTATGTACTTGATATCGCTTAGCATGGTCAAAGATTTCTTTAATATTCGTTCAAATACACAGTTCAAATGTAGTACTCTCAAACCTTTCTAGTTTCCAAATAGAACGCCATGTAACGCCAACCGCAGCCCAATAACATTTCCTATTAATGGGTAAGAAGCAGAAACGAACGCTGTGGCATTGAAATCCACTATGCACCTTGAAACTTATTACAACAAACGTGGGAAAAGAGGTATCAAATTTGCATTAGGCGTCAAGCATCATAAGTTCCTGGTCAATATTTTCGTCGAATTCATCAACGGCAGTCATTGTTCCGTTTCGATTTCCATTGACCACATCCGGTGGGATTTGGTTATTGACCATCGCCTCCCTCTGTCGCTTGCCTTCTTCCTCCTTTTGCTTTTTCACATGAAGTTCAAGATCGGCTAAACTCCAAGTGGAAATTCCTTCTTGATCTCTCGACTTGAATGGCTGCGCCATAGTCCTGAGGAAGCTTTTGGCTGTCGCCACTGCCATATCGGTACTTAAGTTCGTTTCACTCTCGAGCATGGCCTGGCTGATCCACTTGGGAAGTTGTGAGCGTCTCTTCTGAAAACGACGATCAGCAAGGACCATGACTCCGTAGTCGTCCTTGCCACGGATGACACGCCCAAGACACTGCGCAGCATGACGCATCGCGTCGAAAGAAAGAAAGTCGTTTTCGCGAATTCGATAATTCTCGCGCAAAAACTCCAACCTAGCTTTAAGTATGCGTGATTCGGTATACTGGAAAGGTACTCCGATGCAGATAACGGCCCGACCATAGTGGTGATCAAAGTCGATGCCTTCCGAGACTTTACCACGGGCGACACAAAGCAAGACAGCGCCTCGACCATTGCAACACGCAGTTCGGTAAGTTTCGAGGGCAAGCGATGATTCCTGAGAGTCGGGCGTTTCCACCAAGATTAATTTATAATTCCAGACCAAATCTAGTATGCCCATTCCCTGCCACATGCTAATTATGGATTCCATATAAAGATATGACGGGAAGAAGACAACGATCCCGTCTGGTGTGATACGGGAGAATTCGAGCAAAAGATTTCCGTAATTCCGGACTACACCTGGATCATTCCTGATTTGAAATGAGGATGAAATCTGGGCTTGATCAGAGCCGCGTGTAACGACCATGGGAAGAAAAGACCGACGTGCAAGGGTCATAGTATATGACTCCTGTAGCACCGTTGTAAACTTGAGCATTTTGGGATACATCTCCAGCGGAGAAAGGGTTCCAGAAGTGACAATGACAGAACTAAACCTGTCAAAAACAGGTTTGATAGCAATAGCAGCATCCAAGCAGGTGAAATGAAGTATTGGGTTGGGAACGGTCGCTGTTTCTGATTCGAAAGGCTCAAGTATAAGGAGAAAACCCTTCTCGTATGTAGCTGCGAGGGTAGCAAACGCAGCGACTTGCTGAAGAGGTTGGTAGTCTTCGAGGTTCATAAGCTCCAAAGTCCGGACGAGTGATGCTAGCCGTTCCGCACAAAACCGCAGAGGCTTTCGTTCAATGAAGGTTAAATCTTTCAGATGAGCCAAGAAAGAAAGGGGTGTTTCGGATATAGTGTGTGTGATTTTCATTCGAGTTTTTAGATACTCGATAAATCGTTTTAAAAAAGCTACGAAGTGTTCCGCTCTACGGATATTCCCTGGAACGGCTTCTTTTAGCAGGTCATCAGGAAGCGCGGGATTTGCCATTAATTGTTCCTCTTGTCGAGCTTCGTCAGCTCCTCTCAAACCCTCAACCAACTTCTGGTATTCGTTTTGTAACTTTTCTGCATCTGAGCTCTTCATTTCCTCAATTTTACGTTCAAGATTTGTCGCCCCACGGCTTGCCTTTCGTAACGAATCTTCAGTCAAGTCGATGCTTAGAGACTCAATACAAACGTTGTCAATGTTATGGGCCTCATCGAAGACGACGATGCTGTCTTTGGACAGTTCTTGTGAAACTCTTTCCGCAATCTTTGGGTCGAGAAGATAGTGATATGAGTAGATTATGACGTTACAGAAGGGCATCTGGTGATAGTTAGCACAGAGAATAAACTCCAAATAAAGGGTCAGATTAATCCTACCATACGACGAATGGAGAAATAAGGGCATTGTTTATGTTGTTCTCCATATTTGATTATATCATCAAGTGTAAAAACGCCCGGCGGGACAAGATTACTTGGTTCAAGGAGGTCAAGATTCTATACATGTGAGCGTAGTCAAAAATCTGGTGGGAAGATACAAACCTCATGATATATACACAACTCAACATCCTCTCCCCTCTCTTTCTTCTCTTTTACAAAGCCTGCTGTCAAACTTCGGCATCGAGCGTCTACAACGGCCCCGCTCTTCTCTCTTTTCACAGATGGATGAAGACATAAGTTCTTTCGACTTGTAAGACCAAGACCGCGGAAGTCTTCCGCATACCCTAATTGTCGAGTGCGGTACTTCATGAGAGCTTTTAACTCTGCCAAAGCCTTTTCGATTTCAGACATTGTGCGGGAGCAATATATGAGCTTTCGTTGCTCAGGTCTATGCTGTTGATATGCGATAATCAACGAAAGAAGTGACACAGTTTTCCCAGTTCCTGATGGCATCTCTAGAACGCAATGCCCGCCAGCATCCAACGTCTTTTTCAGATCGCACATGTAGGCATATTGCTCCGGATAGATGCGTGGGTATGGAAAAAGCACAGGGAGGTCACTAGGTTTCTATCAGTAAATCGAGACTAAATAGCTATCCAGAGGAAGATTGGAAAATCGTACTCGATGAAGAATTGCATATTGGGCGCAAGAGGAAGCTCTCTCCTCAAAGTCAGTCACTGGCGCCCTGCCGTAGAGAATAGTATCGTAGTAGTTGGATAGGCTGGCAGGCCTCACACGCGTTAACGTTAACCCGCTAGTGCGGACGCCAGGTCACGAGATCGGTGATTTCAGGGCCTAAATTAATTTTTCGGGGGCAAGACGCAGGGAACAAACGTACGTTGATACTCACCAATAAGAGAGCATCTTGTTTCATATAGGATTTCTTGCTTATTGGATTGACGCATTTCTTTTAATTCCAATATTTCTTTCTTATTTTGTTAGGCGGGCTGTGAGATTGATTTCATCTGGCTCAGCCATGTGTATGCCTGTTTGTTGTCTGATTTGCCTTCAAAAGCCATGAGTAAAAAATTTAAGTCTCAAGCATCTAGCAGCAGAGCTGCCTTTGGAGGGTTTGGGAACTCTGCAGGTGCATTTGGAAAATTTTCAACGGATTCTATGACTCAAGGAGGCGCTTCTTCCTCTCTGTCATACATCGCGGAACCGCCAGATCTCTCCAGAATTTCCCAGCCTCAGCTGGTTGTCTCATTCAAAAATCTCCTGAAAAAGGATACTACCACAAAAACGAAGGCGTTAGAAGATCTGCAAGATTTCTTATGTGCGCAGGATACCCGAAGTGAGAGCTTGGAAGATGGTCTCATTGAAGCTTGGGTATGTGTTGGTTTATATACTGGAAGTCGTTGACAAAATAACAATCTTTGCTTACCTTACCCTCCGGCTAGATAAAAATATATCCACGTATGTCAATAGATATTTCTCGCCGTGTTCGACAACTTGCCCATGTCCTCCAAGGCCGTTTTGTATCATTATCCGGGAGGCGAATAGCCCCCTATATTTCAAGGGTAGTTGGGGCATGGCTCGCTGGCCTCTACGATAGTGACAAACTGGTGTTCCGAGCTGCGCAAGAATCGGTTGTCAGAGCTTTCCCAACCGAAGAGAAAAGGCAAAGCCTGTGGAAAATCTACCGATTATCAATTTTCGAATTTGTTATCGATGCTGTACTAGAGCAAACTCCACAGACGTTAAGTGATAAGCGTACTGTTAGGCCAGATGAAGCCGAAGCAAAACATGCCCGCGTTGCCGGAACTGCTCTACAGCTGTTAAAACAACTGCTCGGTAAGTAACACGTTTCATGCGGTAGGTGGCCTTCTTAGCTGGACGACGGAACTAATTGTAACAGCAAAATCATCAACTACCCAACTGGACAAAGATTCCGACTTTATATCAACTCTTATTACCAGCAAGTCGCTTTGGTCGTTTTCGTGCCACGAAGACCCATTTGTTCGCCGATCTACGTATGATTTACTTCGGACTTTGCTTTCTATAAAAAGCAACCTGATAGAATGGAAAACCATCAGCACTTGTTTTCTATCGAAAGCTCTTCCAACAAGCCAACTAGGTTCTGCTCTTGATTTCTCTAATGTTCTATTAACCTTGACTAAAGAACGCCCCCAATTATGGACATCTGACTATTCTGGGAAAGTCTCTGCTACAAAGCGACTTTATCAGTATATTAGAAAGGGTTCGGAAGGGGCTGATGCCGCTTATTGGGAGAACCTACAACTACTGCTAAAATCCATCCCTTTTGGAATTTTGATTACCCAACCGGTCAGTGACGACAGCACCGTACAAGATGCAAACCGGTTAATGGACACGATCCACGATTCAGTTCTAAGTCGGGAAGAGCAGGGAGCCAATCTCGGCGCTGCCTGGTCATGCTTTGTCGATACCGGATTTTGGATATCTTCTTTTATTTCAGACAAGGTCGCTCGCCATAAATTCCTTCAAAACCAGATTTCGCCCATCTTAGAACAGTACATCCTGGGTCACCCTGATAACGGGCGGTGGTCCCTCAATGGAAAATTTGCGCCGGAGTTGTGCGCGAAAACGTTTGTTGTCATGGCGGAGCATACCGGCGCGGAGGCTGTCCAGAGCCTCTGGACGAGCCTTTCCGATAGCCTGATCGAAACAATCAGATTGTCATCCCCAGAAAAGGCTATTGGGTTTAAGGAGTCCCAAGATTCAATATGTGCTCAAGCGAAGCGCTTCTTTGAGTTAGAGGGGCAAGTTTTGGCCCAAGTAGCTCAAAATAGTGGTCTGGCATTTGTTTCGAACATTTTCCAGGTGGCTGGCACTCCGTTGCTTCAAGCTTCGGTGGAGCTTCTGAGGTCTCGCAATGGAAAGCCGTATGGCGCTGCTTCAATGATTGATGAAGCTATCGCCAGAACCCCTGGTATTGCTGCCCAGGTCGAGGGACTAGAAATGTTTCTCAGCGAAGATATCGCGCAGCTTCTGTTTTCGCCTTCAGCGGATCGCCTTATTTCTATCCTATTTGGATCTCGCGGCAAAAAAGGCTTTCAATGTGGCCTTAAAAGCTCCATTGATACTTTCCTCGAGACGGATCTTGGAAGTTCAGCATTACCTGGACTCCAAAAGCTGTTTTCATGTGTCACTCTCTCTGATGCTGAAGCACACCCAAAGTTGGAACTTTTAATCATGAAAGATTTAGACAGGGCATTGCATAATACCCGCGAAGCCTGGATTGAAATCATAACTCTGATCAAAAATGGAGCCCTACGAAATGGGATCATTCATCGAATTCTAAATTCATTAGTTGATAATCTATCATCTGAGAAGAATATCCGGGAGGTACTGTATGGTCTTTTCCAGATAGCCTTAGGATGCCCGGAGATTATCCGAGGGTTTGTGAATAGTCCAGATGGCTCGCGGATGCTCTCTAAAATACTGTATATCTCTGAGACTTCAACCGATGAAGTTTCTCAACTTGCCGATTCCTTGCAAATCCATATTAGAGATATAATAAAAGGGGAAAGTGGGACCCGGTCGTCCATTGAAATCATCCAGCAGAACTTCAGCAATGTTGGAATAGAGTCATTATCGTAAGTTGCCATAAGTGGGTCGCTCATAAATACCCTTTGCTAATGTTCAATTAGCATTGATGCTCTGGTTGGTATTGCAGAGGAGGTCCTTGCGAAAACGTCCGTGGAAGACAAGCCTCGAATATTATCTCGTTTACTGCCTACTCAAGATCACTGGGGGCAAGCGTTGGGCCCATTTCTTCGGAAGCCACTGAAGGCGTCCGCTGCCATAACTGAAACCCTTGCTGGAGCAGTATTTCTTGCAGATAGATCTTCCCCCGAAGGCCTTTCCCGAGAGCTCGATTCCGTTAACCGTGACCCTTACCATTTCTCTTCAGCATTCCGACTGACATTCTATGCTACGAAAGTGCTCTCGTCAATCAGCCTGGAATTCATCGAACAAGATGCCCGTGAAATACTGTTCTTCTACCTACCCTTGGCGACCCAGCTAGTTAATGATGATGTAAGTCAGGAAGGCTCAAAGGGTTTACTTGACCTTGATATTCCAGACATTCGAGATGAATGCGCAGAGCTGGTTTCAGAAGCTCGCCTTATCATTAAGGACTGGCTCCAATCTGCATCGCCGATAACAGATCAGGAAAAATCGGCCCCAAATATTTTCGATTTTTGGGAAGAGCAATTCGAGTCGCTGCAAGGAACGTCTCCAAGCTCATACAATGTAGCAGAAACTTTCGCCAAGGTTATCGGCGAGCGTGATTCGCCAGGGACGGCGCGATCTGGCGAATCCTGCTTGAAGAGGGCAAAGCAGCTAGACGGACCCTCGAACCCGTTCGTTTTACCTTCAGTTGTCGCAGCGTTCAGGGATTTTATCGCGGCCAGTCCATCTGGCGTTCGGTTGTGCAATGAACTGATTTCCGATTGTAGTGTGTTTAAAGTTGAGAATGGCTCTGAAGGTGAGATTTTTATTTATATACACTAAATTTACAGTTCTAATGTTATTTAGGCCTTCGCAAGATCGTGACTCTCAACCTTCTCATCTGCGGAGAGAGTAATATTACACAGAACGTTCCAAAGCCTAGGCTTGTGTTTCTAGTGAAGCACTTGGTCGATTGTTTACAGTCGCAATCACCACCACAGGGCTTGGTTTCGGAAATCCTGAAGTTGCTTGTCAATATTTTACCCTTGATCAGAGAAATATACGGATCTCACTGGTCGAACATATTTGAGTTTCTCCATAATTTATGGGGCGACATGGCGATCTCTGATGAATCCCTTCCTGCCCTACACTCCTCGTTACGACTTTTCGCTTGCTTAAAATCTCTTGCGACAAGCGACAGCAACGATGACTTGGTGGATATATGGACTACTTCCCAGAAGACACATTCACCAGCGTTGATAGGGTTACTTGCAGAATTTGGTAAAGCTACTTCCCTTTTGTTTCGTGGGTTATTCATATTAACACTGAACTATAGACTCCTCGTTAAGCTATGACCAGCCTCTCCAGATCACGGCAAACATCCTTTCTCGTCAAATAGTAGGACTACCTATTGACCATGTCGAGGATATCAATGACCTTTTCTCCATTCTCTCGGCGCCTTCTAGAGACATCCAACGTGCTACATACGACATCCTGCACCGGGCGATCCCTAAATTGCAAGAGGCAGTGACCCTGGATGTTGCGTTATCGGATGCTGTAGCCAGACTCCCGGATGAATTAATTTCTCTTCTTTTGGAAGTCCCTACCATCAATATCATAAGTCAGGCTAAATTTGATGATCATGTATGGATCGGGCTTCGATGTTACCTATTAAGCTGGAAAACTGTCTTCGATCACTTTAATAATGCTGTAAGCTCGGCCCACCTCCCAAAACAGAAAACCTTTCCTAGGTCGCTGGGAATAACTTATGCGTTTCTTTAGTCACTTCCTGTCCAAGAAAGCTATGTGTCAAATATCAAAGAAAACGACTGCTTGAATCCACTTCTCGAGTTTATGTTTGACTTCCTACAACATCAACATGGAAAGTTGGTTGACGCGTCAAAATTTGATATCCGGTCTTTCAACCTTGATGAGTCTGATCCACCTCAGAAAGAAACACAGTGCATGCTTGTGCATTTATATTATTTATGTTTGAAGTATCTACCTAATTTGATAAAAGTTTGGTGGATTGATAGCAAGAAGCGTGTGAAAGGGCAGGTAGAAGCATGGACGGAAAAATATGTAAGCTCAAGATGTTTGAACATGTATCGCCACATCCGGCTAACCCTAGTTTA